TTTGCATAACTGTGTATAAATGTCTGCATTTAGGCTGATTTGCAATATAGAGGAATTGCCCACTAAATGGAAGCTTTTGCCACACAGATTGAGTTCTGTATTTCCACCCATTAAATTTGCAATCTACTAATTAAGACTTCTTCAATGATTTTACTAACTTGGATGGGAGATCACCAGAAAATCTCAGAATAACAGACTAGATGGGAAGCAAAAAAATAAATCATGGCAATGGTTAACCATTTTTGAATTGTTGCAAGAAAACTACCTTAATGAAAAACTAGATCAAGTTTTTGACATTTTTCAAAACCCTTTCAGAAGTAGTAAATGAGTCCTGGAAAACAAAAAGTGAGAAAATTTGCGGAATAATACATATTGGGAAACATGGTAAATTCTATAAAGATGAGGGGGTCAAACTATTTTCCAAACATCAACAGGCAAGACAAGAAACAATGGTTGGAAACTAACCATTGAGAAGCAAACTAGAACTAACGGTGAGAGCAATTAACCAATGGAGTAACTTGCCTTCAGAAGTTGTGAATGCTTCCTCACTGAAGGCTTTCAAAAAGTGTCTGGACAACCATTTCTTTAAAATGATATAGACTAGAGTCTCCTGCTTGAGCAGAGGGGTTGTACTAGAAGACCTCTGAGGTCCCTTTCAACTTTATTATTCTATGTTCCATGAGAGATTAAGAAAACATGGTTCAAAAAAGTGATCAATGTAGGATTTAGGATCTGATTTTTAGGGAAATAGGACATGTGCTAGAAGGATTCAATAGACTTGTCTTCTACTAAATCGGAATAAATTCTACCCCAGAATTGCAGCTTTGTATAAGAGTTTTTCAAGTCCTACTTGGAATGCTAGAGAGCTTCAGTATTGTACGCAAAGCATGTACTTCACCCTTAAGTTACACAACCCACTCCCTTTCTTCAAAGGAAGGAAAACTGGCACTGGAATCACATTTGAGAAAGAGATATACAATTGCCTCAGATGAAACAGGAGGGAGGAGAGATTTGGAGTGTTGAACACCAGAAAATGATGAGCACTTTACAAGAAGTGCTGCAGGCAAATGAAATTTAATGATAATAATAAAAATGATCATGTCAATGCAGAAGACTTTTCCCCCTTAATCTGTAAAAAAACAACAATCCTATTTTGCTTCGGAAAAATAAGATCTGATGTTGAAAGGTTAGAATACAGCCAAATGTGTTGGACTTCAATTCCCATAGTTCTCATCAACATACTGACTGGAAATAATAGACTAATTATCCCAAATATTAGGCAAGGACCGTTGTAGTCAGACAAGCTTTTGATGTGGAAGAAAGTTTTTAGCTGGTGGAGTTGGAGGTGCCTGAGATGCTTTCATTGTTTTAATATGCTTTGATTGTATTTTTAAAGCCATATTTTATGTCTTATTGTTTTAATTTGTTTGCAGGACATTGTTTATTGGTGGTATGGAAGTGCCATAAATAAATGAATAAGCAATTAAGAAAAATAAAAACTAAGATGGACAAAAGCGACCGCACAAACTCTGAGCTAAAATAAGCCACACAAATTGCAGACAAAAAAGGAGACCTCATGGCCAAATTCAAGGGGTATTTATAGATTTAAGAATATAGAGTGCAGCTGTGTTTTCATGACACACTCACCAATGGTTAATGTAAACCTGGTTTATAAAACATAACTGTGTTAAAAACTGCTTATCGGCATATCTCTGTTAAGGTCATATTCTCTATAATATACAACCAGAAATACTATCCATTATGTCAGTGGTTCTCAACCTGTGGGTCGGGACCCCATTTGGGGTCAATTGACCATTTCACGGGGGTCTCCAAGCAAGGCTGTCCGCCATTTTTTTTTGTCCATTTTTTTGTTCGCCATTTTTCCCCCCCTTTTCCGGCGGGTGCCTTACCTCCCTTGGGCTGGGCCAGCTGGTGGTGAGCCTGCTCCATCTCTGCTGCTTGCCAGCTACGCCTCAGCCGGCGCAGGGGGCGGAACCACGCATGCGTGGCGCTCCCGGGCAGGGAAAGTCCTCGACGTACGATCGGTTGGGTAGTCCTCGACTTACGACTGGTTTAGTCCTCGACTTACGACCAGTTTAGCCCTCGACTTACGACCGGTTGGGGTCACGGCATTAAAAAGGTTGAGAACCACTGCATTATGTGATTCTACAGGACCAACTCTTAAGAGCCTGACCAGGAGTGTCAAACTGCTGGCCCATGGGCCAGTTTCATCATACTGAAGCCGTGCCCACCCCATTGCCAGCAATGCAAAAAGAGTCACAGCAAGTCGCGTGACGTGGCAAGTTTGACACCCGTGCCCTAGATAGTAGTTATTAGAGAACAGGCAATGATATCAAAAGTGTTAGAGAACAAAAATTATTTATTTATTTTTAAAAAAAAGATTTTTATTGTTTTTTTTCATACATTCAATAGTATTTGTTCAACAAATGTGCTGAGTTTACATTCACTAATACATATTTAATTCCTAATCCAGAACAACAATTATTTCTTCTGCAGCTCCTTAGATAGGATGCTATCTTCAGGTGTTAAAAGAAACATTGTTCCATAATTAATATTGAATTAATATACAACACCCAATCTGATCATGTTCTGTAAACTGAGCAAGGAGCTGACTTGTCCATTTGCAATAAAATGTCTTTCATCTACTGGTCATGGCTTCACTTAATAGTTAAGTGAGTTGTGCACAATTTTACCATGGTCATGGTCATTTAGTGAATCCAGTTTCCCCCATTGAGTTTGCTTGATGGAAGTCAGCTGGCAAACTCACAAATGGTGATCTCATGAGTCTGGGAAACTGCAACCATTGTAATGTACCTGCCATTTACCAAGCACCCGAATGATCACATGAGCATGGGAAGGGTGAGGACCAGTTATAAGTCACTTTTTTCAATTGTGTTGTAACTTTGAATGGTCACTAAATGAATGGTTGTGAGTCAGTGACTACCTGTATGCTCAATTACCTAGGAGATGGGGTAGATAAGTAGCAGCAGGGACTGGATAGCACAACCGGCCAGCAAATGGATGGACAAAATGACATGAGTCCATTTGGAAGTTAAGGCCAACAGTGAGTACCTTGCTGATGGTCTTGCAGGAACAGGATGTAGAATTAACACCTGCCTGGATATATAAATATTAGTAATTATAGTCTTCATGTTATTATCAAAGCCCTCATCATCATCATTTTAGCCATGGTCTATCCAATGCAGGATGAAGGCATCTTCTGCATGTTTCCAACCTATACAATCCTGAGCTTTCTTTTGCCAATTGGGCTGCAATACTTGCTGATGTCATTGATTCATCTTATTTTAGGTCTTTTTCGTGGACACTTTTTATCAAGTGGGATCCATTCTATGACTGCCTTGGTCCACCTGCCATCAGTTTTTCTTGCAAGTAGCCACCCTTTCAAATGTATTTTCCTTGTCTTTCCCACACTTTGATTCAACTTTATTTTTCTGTGTAGATGAAGAATAAAACTCTCTTAGAAGAGAATTTATTAAACACAAGGCTGGAATCACTCACACATAAGGAACTGGGAATCAACAAGCTCTGCTGTAAAATCAAATGAAATGTTTGGTATTCCAGTTTTGAAATTATCAATATTTGGAAGGACAGAAGAGGTAGCAATTTACTGTAATTTTCTAAATGTGGTCTATAGTAAATTCTAAGAGTTGCCATTTTTATGTCCAACAACTTCTCCTTGCATTGCCATGGGGCATGGAAGGAAATTAGCAGGTACATGTTTTTTAAAGTTTTCTCCCTCAATCTGTTTCTTTTGTTAATTGATATTAAGTGTTGCAATTTTGTAACTGAAAGTAATGCAATTTTATTTTCTAGCCCTGTAAACCTGAGGGTTGAGACAGTAGATAAATTGTAAAAAGGAAGAAGAAAGACTACACTTGGTCTATAAACCACAGAAAGCTCTGCAGGTCTTCTTGGCAGAGTATTGCAGCCAGCTTTCCTAAATGTCTGTGAAGATTCTCAAGATATCCAGGTCATAGTTGTCTCAAAAGTGGTTTTTTTCTTCTTCAAAACACAACTGGCTTGTTTTTTTCTTGAGGAAGAACCCCCCCACACACACACCCATACACACTCCCTTCAGAACTGACGAAGTTTCTTGGATGAGAAGCGAAACGTTTTCTTCTTCCTCCTCAAGGAAAAAACAATCCAGTTGCCTTTTGAAGAAGAAAAAAAAGCACCTTTGAGACAACTTTCCTAAAACATCGGACTTCACGGCTGGGATTTAGAACAGATAAAGCCCGTCACGTCTGAAAGGCCCCAGTTGGAGGTGCCTGATATCAGAAAACATTAAAAGGCATCTCTTTTAGCATTTAACTTCATCACCGTCGCCACGAAGGCGTATCTCTGGCCGCAGGCATCCCCTCCCTTGTGAGGAGAAAGACACTTGTAGCAACTGTGTCATAGCTTGGCTTCTGTGTAATAAACGCGCGAGGGCTGGCGCGTTGCACAGCCCTGCCGCCGCCCTTTCTTTTTGCTTCCAACCAACCCTGCCCGGGGGCGGCTGTTTCTTTCGGATAATTTCCATTTTTCCTTCTCCGCTCATCTTTCAACGTCAGTGGGAATTTCCAGCTAGGAAGTGAGAGGGAGGCGAAAGTGCGGCCGAGGAACGAGCGAGAAATGGGCGGGCGGCAGGGAGGGAGGGAAGGAGGGAGGGAGGGAAGTGCGAGGCGCTCGGGGTCGCGCGCCCAGAGAGCGCGCCCGCGCCCGGCTGTCTTGTATCTGCGTGGGCGGCTAGGCGGGCAAAGAAGTCCTCGCGGGACCCGGACAGTCGACGGCGCGCGGGGCTTCCTTCCTTTTTACCCGACGAAGAGCCCGGCCTCGGTCAGCTGCTTCCTCCTGCTGCGACGCCGCCGCCGATCCTGAAGATCCTTTGCGCGGACATGGCGCTCTTTTGACCGGGACTTCTCCGCCACGGTCGCCTTCCTTCTCACACTGCGCCGGTCTCCGATCCGAGTTCCTCCTTCCTTTCCTGGTCGAAGGTCCCCGGGAATACCATTCCCGAGTGTAAGGTGAGCCCGCGGAAGGTCCATCCCCACGACAGGCATATATATATGCTCCGGGCTAGCGGGAAAACCCGCGAGGGTGCGCTTTCGGTGCCATGCGGAAATGTCTCGAAGTCGGGAAAGAAACTCTGTTCTCCGACTTTAGAGCGGGATGGTGGCTTGTCCCGTGGGTTTATTGCGAGCGAAGCGGTTCTTTCCTTTTTACGATCCCCGGATTATAGGTGGCCCAAGCTTCCCTGACAGCTGCGGTCCTTGGTCTTCACACAGGGGCTGGGTCCTTGGATTGAGATGCCACGGTAAATCGACGCATCCTTCAGCCCAGTTGACAAGGCTGCTTTGGGTCTCTTCTTTTACGTTTGACCCTATGGATTATATAGGCATCGCTTCAGCCTCGGATGTTGGGCTGGCAGGGGTTTCAGTAGGATTAAGTCTAAGGTGTGAATGGGTTTAGATCTGGCACCTTCTTTTAGTTGTACGGTAGATGATCTGAGGTTGACTTCTAGAGAGGCATATGCAGTATGGAAAGCTGTATGTTGTCACATTGCTATGCAGTTGTGTGTGTGTGTGTGTGCGTGCGCGCGCGGGAGTGAGATCAACAGAACTTTCTACTTCCTCATTCCTTTGTAAAAGACAAGACGCTATTCCTTGTTCACAGAAACTTTCTGAAGCACATGGTTAGGCCTTCCCTAAATGATGTATCCAGTTAATACAGTTGCAACTTTTTTCTTTTGCCGCAGATTCTTCTAGGGCTGCCAAAGACCAATCTGCAACTGGTAAACCTTCCCTCATAGCTTCCTCTTTATTTCAGGAACAGTCCCAGTCTGCACATGGCAGCCTCAATACATCATCATTTATGTTAAAGACATAAAGGCTTTGCTGGGGACAAGGTGGCAGCCGTCTTTGATAAGGAGTGCAGGATCTTGTGGGAATGTGATCAGGTTTCTCATCCTTGGCATTGTTCAGAAAAAGGCCCCGTCTCAAACCGAACAGGCAAAATCAGTGAAAGTATTTGTATTTCAGATGGCATCTTCACTGATACTGAAAGTAGTCTTTTAGCTGCTGGAATGAATAAAGAAAGGCAACTTTCTCTTACAGTAATGTAAATATTATCTCTTCTGAGCCAAGATTTTATTTAACTGATTTATTAGACTGATGCTCTGTCTTCCCGCCAGCAACTTAACATTGTATGTAAGATGATTTCTTCCAAATTTTCTCTGAAAGAGAGAGAGAGAGATAGGCTAGCCTGGGAGAATGACCAGTTCATAGTCATGCAATACAGTTTCATGGCTGAAGAGCACTTGATCCTGAGTCTTCTTATCTTCAATCTAATGCTTTTAATGAATTTAATCCAACATTTAATCATGATTCTACATGCTGATTGTCTGCAAACATGGGGTTAGGAGCTGAATATTCTTTTCATTGCTCCTATGTCACTGTCGATTTTTTTTCTCAGATGAATGTAATATTTATCATGGTTGATATGACTTCCTCTAAGTGTGAGGCCTAGAACTGTTGTTGCATTGTTCTGCCAAAAGAGATCTGATTCTTAAAAAGGCCCTCGAAGAAAGGAAAGAAAAGAAAATCAATATACGGTAGAGAGTAAAAATGATTAGAAATGGAGGTGACAAAAATAGGTCCAGTATGTTTTTCAGTGCCGAGTTCTGCTTTGGAGACTTCTAATATTTTGAGCATGAGCAGAATATGTCTACTTAAATGAAGTGGGGAAAATCACTCTAAAAGTCAGACATCTGAGTTCAGGTTTATATTAATCTCTAATACTGGTAAGAAATAATTATTATCACAACATAGATAGGAAGTTTCCTATAAAAATACATTATGTAAGCAAGCTATTTAAATCTCTGTTATTTCTTGATACCTAGACTCTTTTGGCTGGTTTTTTGGATGATGTCAGTGTAATTCCAGGATGCAGTTTGATGATAATTATGTGACATCAAATCATTGCTAATTCTTAGTGACCACGTAGATAGATTTACTCCATGACGATCTGTTCCCAACCTAACCTTCAGCTCTTTCAACAGTGTACCCATTACCTTTGTAACTGAGTCCATCCACCTTACTACTGGTCATCTTCTCTTTCCTTTCACCTTTCCCATTGTTAGAGCCTTCTCTGGAGAAAAATGCAATCTAGGCGTTGTTTAAATGAAGCACATTTAAGGAACTACCAGTATGCAGATAAAGCTGAGATGGGATACTGTAGGTGAAGCAGGGCATATGCCTTTGCATATTGGCCATTATTGTAGATTGTCGAATGTCTTGTTGAGATCATTATGGCAACATGAAAAGTCTGTATTGAATACAAATAGGAGATGTATGTCAGTGCAATTCAAGAAGTTACATCTGCCTTTTAAATACAGTATTAGACAAGGGATACATTAGACTTGAGAATGGAGAGAAAGGACATTGTGAAGTCTGCCCTCTATTAATTTATGTATACTGTATATTCTGAAATAAATTGTATTTTTCACAACATAAGATATTTTGGCATGAAAATATGATTTCAGGAAAAGCTTAAATTTCATATCGGATTGTAAAACATTTCTTTCTTTGCAGCTGACCTTGGCAGGATTTACAAGATTAAGATGTTAAGCTTTCCTTAATAAACAACATTTCTAAAGATACTCAGTAGCGGTTTTGTATTATTAATAACAGATACTGACTACTTACATGTTCAGTTTTATGCAATTTTTGTATATCCCAGTTTTTGTTACTTCTGTATTAGTGTTCAGTATATTGTTTCTAAATTAAAAATACCTCTCATCTAAAACGTATATGAAGTTTTGTTGTTTTTTGGGTTGGTTCTTCACAAGAATTAAGTTATGTTCTCTATAATGAGTCTGTTAGAAATGACGATGAAATTAAATGGAGCATGCCTTTGTCTTGTATTAACCTTGAATTTCATCTATTTCAAAACTCTGTTGCTACATTTTTTAGTCTAATGCCACTAGGATTCTGAGGCTGACAGTTCTGTGTTCCCCAACTGGTACTGATGGGTCTGCTATCCTCTGATTGGAGATATGGTGTATCCATAATTATCATTGGTAACCTCAGCTGCCTTGCATATGTTAAAAATAATTAATAAAGACAATAGCTAATACATAAATAATAAAGCTAGGTAGCTAGATAGAACTGATATGTGAAAATTTCCAAGATTACAATAGCTAAACAGACAAAACTAACCTTTTTTTCCTTTGTGGTCTTTTTAGCCGTCAATAGTTTGCAGTGCATGAAAGAGATATTTTGCATAATGGTACAGTGTCCTAGGTGTACACTGTGTCATGTATTTTATTCTATCAGATGAATCTTCCTAATTTAGTTATATACAAAAGTAAAACACACAAGGGTTCATTAACTGTGTGAAGATAGAATTTAAATATAAGAACCATACTTTAGGTTATACAAATTTCAGTACCCTCTTTTTAAAACAGTAGCCAATCAGATACCTCCAAACATTAACATCCAAAATATGAAATTATAGCTATTCTGAAAGCCAAAATATAATATTCAAAAGAATTCTAGGTTCATATAGGAGCTGTCCAGCTTTCTTGTTAACAAGAGCTTCTTATGATAAATGGAAAATAACCAGTGTTTAGCTCTGGGAATGTTCTTTTTGAACAGGAAGTTGTCATAAAGATAAAATAATATTCTGAGCTACTAAAAACATAATGAACATGCATGGCTTAATAAGAATTGCACTGGGCATTTATAATTCCCGGTTTTGCCAATTCTGGTTTCTGGGGCAATGTCACTGTACATTAAGAGAATGAAAAACACGTAAAGAATAATTACATGCTCTTTAATTCACTAAAAAAACACAACACCATGCAGTGTCTGTATTCTTATCTGTAGTCTTTCCTTAAGAGGGTTTTCTTTATTGGGTTATCAGACAACATTATTTGAATTACAGGTAGTCCTTGATTTATAACCATAATTGAGCCTGGCAATTATGATCATAAGTTGTGATGGTTGTAAAGCATGTCACCACATGATTGACCCTATTTTACAAACTTTTTTGGGTCAGTCATTAAGCAAATGCAGTGGTCATTAAGCAAGCATGGCAGTTGTTAAGCAAATGCAGCAGTTGTGAACCATTGTTCACTAGGGTTTTGCTAGACGTTTTCCAGAAGTAAACGCTGGTTTCTGTCAAAACTATTGTAAATCATAGTCACATGACTGTGAGGTGCTCAAATGGCTAGAAATGCAGGCTAGTTGCTAAGCACCCAAAATGTGGTCACGTGACCATCAGGGCAGCATTGGAATTTTGAAACCAGGTCGTAAGTGGCTTTTGGGGGATCTGTTGTAATTTCAAGCAGTCACTGGCTGTAAGTCAAGGACTACCTGTATAGAAGTTGCATTAGTTCAGTGTCTTGTATTGACAAAGAAATAAAATAATATGCACAACATTGACTAATATTGGAAGAGATATTAGCCAAAATATGTTGCATTGATAGCCAAATAATATTGTTACCAAAGAAATATATATTGTTGCCACTTCCAGTGTTTTAATCAACCTTCAAAGGTTGTCTTATTGCATTATTACTATTTCCTTCCTCTTCCTAAGAAAAATACAGAACTAGATGGTGGGAAATCCATTTTGCTTTACACAATCTCTTCATTTGATGCTAACCAAGATTTGTTTGTGAAATTTGGGGTGGTTTATTTTGATTTCTGCAAAATAAAACAATGAGTTTTAAATAGTTGACTGAAATTCTACAACTATTTTTGGAAGTTTTTCAAAACAGTGGGATAGAAGGAGAATAAATACAGTTCTAAAGAATAAATAGATTAGGAACTCTGTTCCTAGATATATGCTTTTTAGATATTTGATACTATTGAATATTTAAAATTCATATCTTCCTGTAGGGGTTAGATAAATATTTTATAAAAAAAAAAAATCAAGTTCCTGTTTGCATTTACATTTACATTTCTTAATTTCTGATATCAATGTATTGAAATTTCATTTGCAATAAAAGTAATTAAGCACTGAC